CTTCGCTGGCTAACTTGGCTTTAATATCAATCGTGGTCAAGACTGTTTTAGCCTTGATATGATAGAGTTAGCATGTGGGGGAATATTGTATGGATGGAGGAGAGGATATAGATACTGTTTATATCTATATCTTATTCTTCGTGTACATTTATATCTAAAAGTAAAACAGTGAAATAGTAAAAATGGAAGCAAGAAAATAAATAATGGAAGCTAAAAAATGAAGAACTTAAAAGCAAACTTGGTAGTATTAATAGAAAACGGACTTACATACTTGATAGAAAGCAAACTTACATACCAAAATAGCTTACACAAACTAGGAGCTAGGAGATGAACTGACCAACACCGGAGTAGTAATACTAGTACACACCTTATACACTTATCTTACAAACACTCAAAAGAAAATTTCAATGCAAAGCTCACTCACACGCAAATTTAGAAGAAAAACAAGAAGAGAAAAGAAGAGGAAGATCTTAAGAGATTTTTCTCTCTAAGAGATTTTTCTCTCTTCTCATGATACTATGCTTAGATGCCTTGTCATGTTATGTGGGACCAATAGTAATAAAATTTTCAAAACCTATCATAAAAATAGGTCATGGAGTAGCCTTTTTTAGCATAGGTGGGTAAGGGCCACGAATTCCTTCATGCTTAAATATTCAAGGTGGAAATCAGATGTATACCATATGCGGTCTTTTTAGTTGGTATTGTGTAGAGTTGTGAATAACTGCTTCTTTTTAGCTGTGATTTAAAATTACGTTAGTTTATTATTTTTAACTACGAAAACATATTTGTTAAAAAATGATCGACTTGATTTTTAAGTCTTTAGTATTAATCATATGCAGAGTTTTACCATCATTTAATGGCATATCACATATTTTCCCATCTATGAGTTATTTTCTCTGCTAGATCAGTGGCAATTGATACACCATTTGGAGAAGGGATTTCTTTTTCTTGGTATTGTTTTGCTGCCATAAAGATGCTATATACCTGTCTTGTTTCTGGACCATTTGTAGATTGGTCATCCACCGTTCTATGATTGCTTTTGTTGGCCTTGTCTGAGAAATTTTCCACATATTAATATATGTGTAGATAATTCAAAGCCCATCTGTCATATAATATGTGTAACCTTTGATCAAATATTCAAGTTTTTGAAGTGGATGGTAGCTTGGAAACAATCCAACCTTACATCTAGCATTCTTCATGAAACTAGTTGTGGGAATGGAGTCCTGAAACTGTAGAAATTTCCCATATTTGCAAACTTGAAAAATAGTCGAAGCTGCTTCTCTCATATAATGTAGTCGTAATATTCAATTGAAGGTGTGCGTGAATTATTGGAGGCAAGAAAATAGCTGTCTTGACAATGACTGACAATTTGTTAAACCTCATTCGATTGTAGAAAAATAGTGGATCTCTTATAATTCACAATTTAGAGACAATCCTTGCTTCTATATAAGGTATATACGTAGAAATTTCACGAAGATTTATAGCAAATCTAGGAGAGTTAGATAGTATAAGAATTGTGAGCTCTTTGTGGTTGTTTAGAAGGGGAATAATATTGACTTGAAACTTCATGTTCAAAATTAGTGCTAGAGTCCAAACAGTATGTATCATAGGAAATTTTTATTAGATTACCTTTAATGAGTTCTTCGGTTTCTTCTTTACAGAGAAAAGATTTTCATCCATTTAGAATGGCATATCAATGTATCAATTATCGAAAGTTATACGAAAATGCTTTTATATAAGAGAAATGAACATTCTTTTTATTTTTAAGAATTGTCTTGTTGAAGGATTCTGGATAATCTCATCTCCTATATCAGAAAGAACATTTATAAAGTTTTCTCTGTAATGTAAGGTAAAAAATAGATGATTAACTAATATTTGTTCTGGTTCTTTATTAAACCAGAAGGGAACATTGAGATTACTGATGTTTGTATGAATGTGATGATTATCTACAAGAAAAGGCTTAAGATTATTAACAAAAAGAGTTCCTAAAATAATACATTGTTTGAGGTCTTTAAATAAGACCAAGGAAGTTTTGATTTTAAGATCTCAATTGCAAATATAAGCATTAGTAAGTTTATATCTTTCTTTGAGAGCTTGCCCATTAGCAGCGATAACTAGATGATATGTTTTTTCATAGAATCTAGAAGGAACAAGATCTTCTCTAATACAACTCACATCTGCTCCAGTGTCAATTAGAGCAGTGTATTGGACGGAGTATTCATCCATAATATTAAGCATGATATCACACCCCTATTTCTTTTCAACATATATTCTATAGAATTTATAAATTTATTATCATTGGAGGTTTCTTCATGTTCAAAGTTTTTTATTTCTTTGTGACCCTCAAACTCTTCTATATTATTATTTTCTAAGTAAGATTCCAGATTTTTTTATCTTCCTTTTATTAAGATCAAGAATTTCTATCTTCATATTTCCTTATTCTTTTCGAAGTTCTTCAATATTTATTGTACTTTCAATTTTCTTCTCATTTTGATTTCTATTTAAAATTTCAGAGAAAATATAGTGTTCATTACTCTTCTTTTCATCAACAGTTTTTACTAAAACTTCTCCTTTTTTCTTAGTCATCTCGAGATACTTAGTTAATTGTGTTCTTTTTTCTTATGGATCAGTGATTGCATCTAAATGAATGCATTCGTAGTAAATTAGAGATGACGCCTATTGAGGATAAAATGAGAGAGAATAGATTAAGATGGTTTGATCATGTACAAAGGAGACCCCTTAGTACACCGATTGGAAAAAGTGATAATATTAGAGTTAATGGGGTTAGAAGATCTAGAAGTCGATCTAGAATGACTTGGTCAGAAGCAATTAAGAAGGATATGATTAAGACTAACGTAATGGAGAAAATGACCCACAATAAAATAAAATGGAAAAATAGGATTCATATAGCCGACCCTAAATATTTGGGATAAATGCTTGGTTGTTGTTGTTGTTATCAGTGATTGCATCTATAGTATCAAGAATACACTGTTCGTGTTCACTTGAAATATTTAACTTAGAAGTTCCAAAAGAGTTTTCAGAGGATTCAACACTATCTTTATTGTGACAAGTGCAAAGATTGTTGCACACATCATTATAATTTGATGAATCATCATCATCACTAAGTTTTTAAGCATCAACGAACTTATCGATTTTGTCTGTAGCAAGACCTTTAGATTCTAATAGAAGTTTATTAACTTTCGTTTATAGGACTTTTTGAAAATATTTATAAGCATAACTTCGTACAGTTATAACACGTAGGAGTTTTTGTATTATTATTATCATTTTTTCTAAAGTTTTTTGAGAACTTCCTTCTATGGGATTTTCTTTCGTCATTTTTATCATTTCTAGGTATTTGTGCTTTTCTATAATTTTTATACTTATTTTTAATTCTTGGGTTTTCCATTGAAGACCAAACTGATAACAAAAATCTCCAAACTACCTTTTACCCAAAAGGTCTTGATTTTTTAATTGATTTTTAATTGTAGCATCATTACAAAGTCTTAAACCAATGATGTTTACTCTTTGGAATAATTCTCCAAAAGAATTTGAGCATAAAGTATTTGTCAATTATATTGTTCTTTAATGGATTCTCTTACTCTCTAGGCAAATAAAGGTGAAAGACCCGAAATAAATTTTTCTTTCCAAATAGGATAATTACAATCATGTAGCTAGTAAACATAAGAAAGAAAAACATCTCTATACCATTTGAAATCTGTAAGAGTTTTACACCTAAAATTTATAAGTTATTCTCTGATCTTATCTTGAAGGCTATGAGCTAAACCAATAAAGTGATAGTAAATAGAAAGGAGTAAAGTGTAGATTGCATCACTAAAGTAATGTCTATTTTCATAAGATTTGGTTCTCCTAATTGATTTTGTTTATAATTATTTAAAATGTTATTTTTTTGTTGGAGATAATGATCCCACCAACCTTGTAGCCGACCCAAAATAGAGGAGCACATAGGACTTGCAATGTATTTTTTAGTATTGCCTTGTTGTCAATAGGTGTTGGCATAGATAAGCATTTCTTTTAACAGATGTATGGCTTGATATTTAGTTTAATTGTCAAGATCCCACTCAACAAAAGAATTTCCATCACAATATGTCTAATGATAATCAATTATTTCTTCGAATTACATATCATCAGGAGTGAGTGTCCTATGATAATTTATTGTGTTATTAGTACCAAGCACAAACTTAGGGCTTAGTAGTGAGGTGGCCCATTCCCATTCACTTATTTAAAGGGGGGAGGACCACATTCACATGGGTGCATATGAGTTGAAAAATTAACGGGTGATTATTTTCAAGTGGGGATGATTTGACTAAGTGGATGAGAATGAACCACCTCACTACCAAGCACGAAATTTGTGCTTGGTACTAATCATATCCATTTCTCTCTCTATATTTATGTATTTATGTATATTTGTATGTATGTATGTACTTTCTTTTGGCGCCATGGCCTTCTGCCTAGATTTATGAACTTATAAATTGTAATGCATTGACAATTGCAAAGTGAAGAAGCATCAGAAAATCCCATTAGTTCAAAAGGCCAAGATATTTAATTATAGTGCTACCTTAATTCTTTTGTTTTTACTGCTTTTCATTTTGTCCCCATGTTTGTCTCTGTAATTTTCCTGAAGATATACCATAAGTTTATGACCATAAAATTTTCACTTTTAAGATTGTATCTGCCAGTAAGTAGGTTTGATAACTAATAGTCCTGATGGAAATAAAATCATGCATCTTCTCTGGGCTTCTGTTTTAATTGTTGAAGATTGTTGCATTTCTTGCTTATTAATTGTATTATCTTTTGCTGTTATATTATAACTCCTTCTAGAAAATATAAATAATACAGTGTTACAACTTACATCTTGACCTTTAGTGGATCAGGTGTGAAGAGACAGCCGGATTTAGTACCTAAATCATGGGAAGCAAAACAGTCCATGTGTCTGGTTTTCCTATGAATGTTACTGCAGACAGTGTGAAGAATTTTCTGGAGGATTATACAGGAGAAGGATCTGTGTTTGCTGTTAAGGTTAGGCATCCTAAAGTAATCTCAACAAGATCAAGAGCATATGCACTGGTCCAATTTTTTACAAGCAAAGATGCTAAGATTGTATCCAGCTTAGCACAGCAGAACTTCTTATATGGAAATTCTTACTTAAAAGTTGAGTATGCGAAACGTGATATTGTGCCGAAGCCAAGGAAAGCTTGGTTTATTCTGGAAGACACAGAACTGCATATTGGCTGCTTAATTTCGGAAAACACTTTAGGTGTTCTCTGGAGCTGTACAGGTGTCGAGGTTCATTTTGGTTTCAATATGAAGAAAATAAGCTTCCTCCTGACACAGGGAAGTCAGTCTCACAAACTCGAACTTTCTTTTGAGAGCATCTGGGACATCCAGCAACACTCCCTCCCTTCTGAGAACTCTCAGTTTCTTGTGGTTCAGGTTTGCATTTGTGCACCATCGCCAAAATTATTTGAAGTATCTGACATATGTTCTCTTAACTTCATCTATTCTTGTTCCCTACTAGCTCCCAAGTAGTTTTTTCAATTTTGAATGAGTCAGTTATTTTCATAATCAGTTCCCTTTTTGTAGCCAATGGGACGTCGTGTGAAGGAAACATCACCAAAAAAAAGAAAAAAAAAAGAAAAGTTCTTTTGTTTATTTCCATATTTCAATAGGAGTAATTGTTATAGTAACCACTTGCATATGTTTGTTTGCTTGTTTGTTGCAAGTTACTTGAATCTGTTGGGCTTTAATTTTTTTACCCGATTCTAATTTATTAGCACATGTGCACCCAGTGTATGACAGTGTTATTTTTTCCGTAGTTTCTAATCCCATATGAATTATTCTTAGGAAATATCTTACTCTCACCTTCCCATGTTTCTCACGGGAGTTCAAAAATTAAATGGAAAACGCGTTGTTATTGAGACCCAGGGTATATGTACTAAGGGTCATAAGTAGCTACAACCCATAGTAACCCTAGAGGGGGTGAATGGGATTGAAGTAAATTTTTTTTAGTAAACTAAAGACATAGCAAGTTAATATACAGATAGGAAATGTGACGCCCCTGGTTTCACACAATGCTACAGTCCAAGGTGAACCCAAAGATGTCAAACCTGCCATGCACCCACACTATGCAAAGATACGTTTCACCATCACAGTAATATCTCTCTAGTAGAATCAACAATAACCAAGTAATACAAAGCAGATAAAGTAAAGATAAGAATACAATGAATATGATATAAAGAAGAGACATCCAAAAAGAGACTTAATCTGTTCCAATTGAATAATAGAGAGTACAACTGATAAACTAAAATAAAAGTAAAATATCTCAATATATAAGAGTCAACTAAAATAGTACTAAGGCACTCGGCCTTCAAAAATGAAATACAACTCTAAATGTCTGAAAATAAATCATAACTACTGTGGAGCACAAATAAACTACTATTATAAATAACTGATGGTGAGCTAAACTGAGTCTCCATCTGATACGAGTGTATCTTCTCTTTGGAACTTAGTGATCCTGATGAGAGCTTGAGGATAGATGATTCTCATGGTAACTTGAGAATAAAGGTGTAAAACAACACAGTGGAACGCAAGTCGAAGCGTGGAACGAGACGACGAATCGAAGAATCAAAGCATCCAGTTTTTAGCCCGTTAGTCGACTCATACATGCACATGAGTCGACTCATCAGGTTGAGTCGACTCATGCCTATCATAAGTCGACTCACGAAACCCAGCCGTTTTGTCAGAAGTTTCTGACCAGTCGACTCATGTCTGTCATGAGTCGACTCACGAAATCCAGCCGTTTTGTTAAAAGTTTCTGACCACTCGACTCATCATTTCATGAGTCGACCCATGTGTCATGAGTCGACTCATATGCACATGAGTCGACTCATCGATGGTTTTCTGTTTCGTTTGGGTTTCTGTTTACACGAATTCCTGTGGGTTTGGGCTTGGTTATTTATCACTTTACCATTTACATTGTTACACCTATAAAAGGGGTTGTTTAGGATTTCTAATCAATCAGCTATAGTCAAAGAGAGATTCTAATCAAGAGAGATTAGGGTTTAGATTGTATTAGAGAATTGAGAGTTTGTTCTCGATTCTAGTGAGATTGTGAGAGAGGGATTGTAATCTTTTCATACGCATAATCTAGAGGGTATTTTTCTTCATCACATATTGAATTATTCTTGTGTTTCTGTCATCCTCTTCTCAACCCACCTTTGATAATTCCGCGATCAAAGATGTTCGCACGACGACTCGTATCAAGTTGGTATCATAGCGATCAGATCCTGTGAAGGGGGCATCCTGTATATGGTACTGACTCGATCGTAATACAAGAAGTTAGGCGAGATCCTTATTTTATTGGAAGAAGTCCAGAAATTAAGAAAGAAGAAGATGACTGGATGAGATAGTTCAGCAAGGTTAGATGTATTGGAGAAACAGATGGAGACAATGAGTTCGACTCTTACACAGCTCGTCAATATCTTTCAAGAAAAGGACAAGGAGGAATCTTCTTCGAAAGACAAGAATAAACTTATGGAGTCCGATGGGAAAAGCGAGGAATCTGATTCTGATAAGGAGATCGAGATTGTCAAAACTGTTCCGTATCAAGTGGGTAAAAATTACTATCAAAATTTAAAAATTAATTTTACGGTGGAGATTCCTGTTTATGATGGGAGTGTTAATGTGGAGAAGCTCGATGATTGGATCGAGTGTATGGAGATGTATTTCACTTTCTATGGATATTCATCCAAGGAGAAGATTGTGTTCGCGATTTTGAAGCTTTCAGGGCATTCGTTGACGTGGTGAAAATCCTACTGCAAGCAGGAGAAGAAGGTGGTGTCGTGGAACAAGTTTAAGGAGCTACTGAGAAAGCAGTTTTATCCAGTGGGGTTCCTTGAGGAGCGTTGGTACAAGTGGTACGGCTTACGTTAAAGATTTAATCAGATTGTTCAAGAGTATACGACGGAGTTTCAGCAGCAGGCGATGGTTCTAAACGTCGCGACAGACGAATACTCCATCTTCATGAAGTACATGACGGGTCTGAACGAATACATCCGGAAGGAGATGAAGCTATTCACGGTCGAGTCTATTGCAGAGGCAAGCGTGAGAGCTATTGTCATCGAGGGCAAGCAAAAGAAGAGCAACGAGGCAAAAGGAGATGCAAAACAGACGGGAGGTGAGTCTAGTGGTTTCAAACATAAGAAAGAGAAAAAGGGTGATCCAGGGAGAGCAGAACTGATTTGTAGTCACTGCGAGAAGACAGGACATATCGCTGATCGATGATTGGGAGAAGTATCCTCATCTGAAACCAAAAGGGTTGAAGAAGAAAGAGGAGAAAAAGACATACGTGATAGCACAGGGTCCGAAGAAAGTTCCTAGGATGGTAGAGCCTAACAGTAGTCTTAATCTTATGACAGGAAAACAGACCACGAAAGAGGACGAAGACCTCCCGAGAGCAGCTCTTTGTGCTGAAGTTGGAAGTGAAGACCAGTTTAGTATCAGCCATTGTTGATCCAGGTAGCGAAAAAACTTTGATATCCGAGGTCTTGGTTCAGAAGCTGGGTCTGAAGACAGTTAAGCATCCAAAATCCTATCCATTAGGGTGGATTCAGAAAAAGACGGGATTAAGTGTAGTTGATCAATGTACTGTCAGATTTGCATTCCACGAATCGTATATTAACGAGGTCACGTACAACGTCGTTCCATTGGATGTTTGTTAAGTTATACTGGGCAATCCGTACTTGTAGGATAGATGCCCGATCTACGAAAGGTGGGCTCAGAAGTACACATTCACCAAGGATGGTGAAAAGTTCATATTTCGTTCGGCGTCTCTTCCGAGGGAGGCAAACTTGACGACGGTGACGCGAGCGAAGAGGCTAGTGAATGCAAGCAAGAGGTTTGTCTCGCTGTGCATTAAACTTCATGACGAGCCATCGAAAAAGAGTTGCATGTTGGAGCGGAAGACGACTACGATGAGGCGATGAATGAAGGAGTCGTTTCCAGTTGTATGTCGATATCACGTTCCTAGCAAGGCTAGGTGGTACAGAAAGTATAAAGGAGCTAACGAGTTTCCTCAGTTGAAGTTCTAACTTGAATGAGACTTCAAGTTCCTAAAGAGGGACCCATGATACGGGTGCATCTTCTCTTCGGAACTTAGCGATCCTGATGAGAGCTTGAGGATAGATGATTCTCATGGTAGCTTAAGAATAAAGGTGTAAAATAACACAGTGGAACGCAGGTCGAAGCGTGGAACGAGATAATGAATCAAAGAATCGAAGCATCCAGTTTTCAGCCTGTGAGTCGACTCATACATGCACATGAGTCGACTCATCAGGTTGAGTCGACTCATGCCTGTCATGAGTCGACTCATGAAACCCAACCATTTTGTCAGAAGTTTCTGACCAGTCGACTCATGCCTGTCATGAGCCGACTTACGAAACTCAGCCGTTTTATCAAAAGTTTCTGATTAGTCGACTCATCATTTCATGAGTCGACCCATGTGTCATGAGTCGACTCATATATGCACATGAGTCGACTAATTAATGGTTTCCTGGTTCGTTTGGGTTTCTGTTTGTACTAATTTCTGTGGGTTTAGGCTTGGTTATTTATCACTTTACCATTCACGTTGTTACACCTATAAAAGGGGTTGTTTAGGGTTTCTAATCAATCAGATGTAATCAAAGAGAGATTATAATCAAGAGAGATTAGGGTTTAGATTGTATTAGAGAATTGAGAGTTTGTTCTCGATTCTAGTGAGATTATGAGAGAGGGATTGTAATCTTTTCATACTCATAATCTAGAGAAGGTATTTTTCTTCGTCACATACTGAATTATTCTTGTGTTTCTGTCATCCTCTTCTCAACCCACCTTTGATAATTTCGCGATCAAAGGTGCTCGCACGACGACTCGTATCGCCATCAATCTGCAACTCTCTGTGCGCCTGACTCGCTACCTAAAAAGAAAAAAAAACGAGCGTCAAAGCGCTAGCGAGATCATCTCCACCGTCTTCAGGGGGAGGGGGTAGGCGTAGGACAATACAAGTTAGGCCATATAGATATATATAAATCATCTTTCCTGAACTAAGAGGAAAATTAATATTTAGAAATCCACAACACGAGAATGGGTACGTCGAGCAAAATAATCCAAATAAGAAAACCCTTATGTATATACCTCGTATCTCAAATAGTGAATCGCTAAATATCAACTTCATATCCTATGAATAAAATAATAAATAAAAGAATAACACGGTGCCAAATCTCATCCAATGTAGGTTATGTTAAAATATCTCACACTACCCTCTGGTAGGTGGTGCCGTTACAAAAGTAATAGTTCGGTAAAGAATCTCACATAGTATATATGTTGTGTATGACAACCTCGATCTTACACCCTATTTTTGGGGTAGTTAACATGGGAGCATGAATATAAATCTGTGT